AATGTTGTGTAGTAATGCTAGTGACGATTGCAAAGTGAAGCCTTTATTGGTATATCACTCTGAAACTCCCAGTGTGTTCAGGAAAAATAATATAGTCAAGGGTAATTTGTGTGTGCTGTGGAAATCAAACGCTAAGGCATGGGGTCACTAGAGAACTTTTCATGGACTGGTTTTATGGTGTGTTTGGCCCCACTGTGAAAAATTACCTCCAGGAAAAGAAATTGTCACTCAAGTGCCTCCTGGTACTGGACAATGCTGCTGCTCATCCTCACACTTGCAAGAGCAAATTACAGGGGAGTTAAGCTTCGTTGAAGTGAAGTTTTTGCCTTCTAATACAACTCTTCTCCTCCAGCCCATGGACCAGCAGGTCATTTCAAACTTCAAAGAACTCTACACCAAAGTAGTGTTTCAAAAGTGCTTTGAAGTGACCTCAGACACTCAAGTGACCCTAAGAGAGTTTTGGAAAGATCACTTCAGTATCCTCAGTTGCATAAACCTTATAGGTAAGGCTTAAGGAGTGACTACCAGGACTTTGAACTCTGCTTGGAGGAAATGTGGCCACACTGTGTACAAGAGAGGGGTTTTGAAGGGTTTGAGGCTAACCCTCAGGAGCCTATGCCAGTAGTGGAAGCTATTGTCATTGGGGAAGTCCTTGGGGTTGGAGGTTTGTGGCGAGGATGTGGAAGAGTTGGTGCAGAACGACGAGGAAGAACTAACCACTGCAGACCTACAAGAGCTTGAGGTGCAACAGCAACAGATCACATCTCAGGAATGTTCTTCAGAGCAAGAGGAAGAGAGACGGAGGAAGATGCCTTCGTCAAAGATTAGGGAAATGTGTACAATGTTTACAAAGGTGCAAGCATTTATCGATGAATTTTATCCTGTCACAGCTGTTGCAAGCCATATTGGCAACATGTACAATGACACTCTTGTGTCCAATTTTAGGGAAATCCTAAGGGCACATGAGAAACAGAGCTCTCTGGACAGATTTTTGGTGCGACAGGGGTCCAGTGACTCTCAAGCTGGTCCTACTGGCATTAAAAAACCAAGAAGGGAGGTAACCCCACCAAAGGACTTAGTACATGTACCTGAAGTCTTTATGGAAGGGGATTCCCCTTCCAAACAATAAAACACCTCAATCTCTCCTGCTGCTGGCACATCACTCATCAACAACTCCACAATAAAGGTAAGTGGCATTTAATTATTGTTTATTTTGCATGTCCCATTCGTTTTTGTGTAGGGAAATATATATTTCATGTAAAAAAATATTATTTTGTTTAATACTTTTGGGTGTCTGGAATGGATTAATTCTATTTCCATTATTTCTCAATTCGACTAACGGCAAATTCAACTAAAGGCTAGCTCTCTGGAACGGAATACAGCCATGGTCGAGGGTCCACTGTATAAGCAAATTTTTTTTTTTTTTTGTTGAAACGAGATAAAAAATTATTAAAAATAGAAGTTCAATGCAGTACGATAGTACAGGAATTACTGGCATTACATCTAGCAGTGAGGAGCTGCATTCGATGCAACACACACCCAGTTGCAATCAGTCTGTTTACGCTATGAGTATGCGCGTTGTAACACGTGGCCAGTATTGGTGTTGGTGGTCATTTAAATTCTTTTCAATAGTGTTAAATTTAATTACCATTTGATAAATGATGACAGTGGAAACTAGAGAAAACTCAGTTAAATATTTACAAAGTACTATTAACTTTTTGCAGTTGATTTTAAGTGAAAAAGTAAAGATAAAAGAAAAAGGATGACATACACCAGTTTTATCCATTCTACAAAAAAGTACAAGCAGGAGCAAAGAATATACCTGCCAGTTTAGCATCAGTGTTTACCAGAAAAGTGAATGGCTTTGTGGCTGTGATGAAAAGAGTGCTTTATTCTGTTTTCCATGCTTACTATTTGGTGGAGACTCTTCATGGACAAAAAGTGGCATGACTGACCTGAGACATTTACCAGAAAACGTAATGAAACATGAGCAGTCAACCAATCATATACATAATGTTAATGATTTGTAAATGCTGGGTAAAGTGAACACTGCAGCTCAAATTGATTCAGCATACAAGATTTCGATAGCAAAACACAATTTCAAGTAGTTGTAATATTATCACTTCTGCTAGCCATGTCTCCACCAGCAGGACTGTGATGACCTCTATGGGTACATTGATGAACTGGAACGAGGCACAACTCGTTCTCACCGAACCAGACCTCAGACGCCGACGGTGCCTGGAAGCCTCGCTAATCGCCGTCACCGACACTATAGAACGCAACACTGGAAACTACAAAATTTCAAAAACATTGGCATACATGATACTTAAGCAGCACCAACCCAACAACACAGGAGTCACGTGATTTCATCGTCTACCCTCGCCTCGCATGGGCCAGTAGGCCTTCTACAGTGTTCCTCCATTCTTATGTTCTTATGACATTCCTCAGGTCACGTGCGTCACGTCTCACTCTCCGCCTATATATATAATGTCTTTCTACCTCTGTATGTTAGAAGTGATCAAGGTTCCAGGACCGAAACGTTTTCTAATAAATATGTTATAGTGTTTGCTTACATGTCTTTCTAAACCAACATATATGTGAGCACTTATCATTATTAACATAAGAACATAAAAAAGGAGGAACACTGCAGCAGGCCTGTTGGCCCATACTAGGCAGGTCCTTTACAATTCATCCCACTAACAAACATTTGACCAACCCAATTTTCAATGCTACCCAAGAAATAAGCTCTGATGTGAAAGTCCCACTCAAATCCAACCCCTCCCACTCATGTATTTATCCAACCTAAATTTGAAACTACCCAAAGTCCTAGCCTCAATAACCCAACTAGGTAGACTGTTCCACTCATCAACTACCCTATTTCCAAACCAATACTTTCCTATGTCTTTTCTAAATCTAAACTTATCTAATTTAAATCCATTACTGCGGGTTCTCTCTTGGAGAGATATCTTCAAGACCTTGTTAATATCCCCTTTATTAATACCTATCTTCCACTTATACACTTCGATCAGGTCTCCCCTCATTCTTCGTCTAACAAGTGAATGTAACTTAAGAGTCTTCAATCTTTCTTCATAAGGAAGATTTCTAATGCTATGTATTAATTTAGTCATCCTACGCTGAATGTTTTCTAACGAATTTATGTCCATTCTGTAATATGGAGACCAGAATTGAGCTGCATAATCTAGGTGAGGCCTTACTAATGATGTATAAAGCTGCTAAATTTAGTTTCATTTTAAAAATTATTACTTTCATAATGTTTATTATGCTGTTCTATGAGGCTTGCACTCATGCAGTGCCCCCCATTCTATTTTTTGACGAGCCGCCATTGGTTGTATAGACCAAATAAGGGGCAAGTTGTAAAATAAAAATGAGATACATACAGTATAGAGTTTATTATATTATTTTGGGTCACTTTTTATATTGTATCTTTATATATGCTTCTAAACTGTTGTATCTGGGTGCCTCTGCAAAAACAGTGATTATGTATGAGTGAGGTGAAAGTGTTGAATGATGAAAGTATTTTTGTTTTGGGGATTTTCTTTCTGTTTGGGTCACCCTGCCTAGGTGAGAGATGGCCGACTTTAAAAAAAAAAAAAAAATACATACAGTATACAGTATGGGGCAGTGGGGTTGCTTCTTGCTAAATATCCTTCCACCTCTGCTCCTCATTTCATACATTATATACAGAATCAACAAAGTGATCTTTTGTACACTAAAAAGAAGTCCTCTGGTTGGAGGACAATGAGCTAGTATATAGAAATCATACCACCAGCACCTTGAATGTGGTGGAGGCAGCTATAAACAGGAAGGTGAAGTGGCAAGCTCTACAGTACACAGAGCATGACTCTCAATCAATGGATTTAACTGCAATATAGGAAATAATCCTAGGTAGTAGGTTGGTAGACCAACTGCCCAGGGAGGTACTACCATCCTGCCAAGTGAGTGTAAAATGGAAACCTGTAATTGTTTTACATGATGGTAGGATTGCTGGTGTCCATTTTTCTGTCTCATAAACATGCAAGGTTTCAGGTATGTCTTGCTACTTCTACTTACACTTAGGTCACACTACACATACATGTACAAGCATATACATATATACACACCCCTCTGGGTTTTCTTCTATTTTTCTTACTAGTTCTTGTTCGTTTATTTCCTCTTACCTCCATGGGTAAGTGGAACAGAATTCTTCCTCCGTAAGCCATGCGTGTTGTAAGAGGCGACTAAAATGCCGGGAGCAAGGGGCTAGTAACCTCTTCTCCTGTATATATTGTAATAAAGTTGGTAGAATTACCGACAATATGTAAAGTAAAAGGACACAAGTGCAACTAATGTGACATTTATTGTGGCAACGTTTCGCTCTCCAGGAGCTTTATAAAGCTCCTGGAGAGCGAAACGTTGCCACAATAAATGTCACATTAGTTGCACTTGTGTCCTTTTACTTTACATCCTGTATATATTACTAAATGTAAAAGGAGAAACTTTCGTTTTTCCTTCTGGGCCACCCCGCCTCGGTGGGATACGGCCGGGGTGTTGAAAGAAAAAAGAAAGATAGGAAATAATAAATCAATGATGCTAATGAGGCCCCTGACTGGGATGTGTACACAGGATCTCTGATTAGAAGCCCTGAGGAAAGCCCTCCATTCCTTAAGTGAAATATATTTCCACCTGGATGTATAACAGGAGCAGCTGTATGATCTGCCAATACCAGATACACGAGTCAAGATAAAAACAAAGCAGCAACCATGTGCTTTTTCCTAGAGCAAAGTAATTTTTTTTTTTAACACACTGGCCGTTTCCTGCTGAGGCAGGGTGACTCATAAAGAAAGAAAAACCCCAAAAGAAAGAAAAAAAAACTTTCATCATCGTTCAACACTTTCACCATCATTCATACATAATCACTGTCTTTGCAGAAGCACTCAGATACGTTTGCAGAAAGTGCCATACCTGTATGAGTGATACAGTATAAAAAATGAAGCTCTCACCTTGGCAGTTCTGTCTAGTGAGCCTGTAGCAATTAATTTGTAGTTAACAGATACACAAATAGAATTAATATCTTTATCATGGGCTTTTTCTGTATGTGTAGAAGATAAGACAGACACATGACTGATGGAGGTGTCTGTAGCTTTTATTTCCTTGTCCAGAGTCCATTTCTTAATACACATATCTTGACTAGCAGTCACCATAAATCCTGGAAAGAGATCAATACCATTAAAATATTAAAAGGAACTACATGTTTATTTAAACAGGCTTATATAATTATTTTGTGAAAAAATATTTAAAATTTCAGAAAGATTTTGCATGAAAGCATTTTCAAATACTTAAAATTACTGTACAGTATTTCTCATACAGTTAATTTCTTGTTTAGGAATGTCATACACATTCTTATATGGTGTTCAGCATTCTGAAGCTGAGCTATGGCCAGGTTAGGCTATGCTAGATTAGGTTAGTTTAGACTAAGTTAGGTTAAACTAGATTACATTTTACTGCATTACATTTAGATTAGGACATGAATCTCACCTTCAGCAAGTCCAACACAGCCTACACTAAGTGTGTGACCAACAGCTGAAGCTATGCAAACAGCAGTCCCATCATCTTTCAATCGCCAAACAAGAGCACTGTTATCATGGGAACTGAAAAAAAATATGTTCTATGGGGTATTCCATTCTACGATTATGAAATCAAAATCATCATTTACACCTCTCTGCTTTCCTTCATTTAGCAAGGAAAATTTCCATACAAACCTCTTCACCTACAAATAAAATTCACAGCTCTTTAAGGTGATTTAATAAATGCTACCTTACATGGTTTTTTTTTCAGTATTTGATCTGACCATCTATCTTCAAATCTACTTGCAAAACAATTTTACCCATCTTTGTAGGGCTTACTACATACTAGTAATATTACAATCATCAAGTTTTCCTTGACAATACAGTGCGTCAAAATAATCCAGAATTGACATTCCTTTCTTCCTCTCTTCATATCCATTATTCAGAACCCTCCCTCTAATAATTTTACCATTATTACATTTTGATGAAAGCCAAATTCTCTTACCAAACCTCTATATAAACACACACTGAAAATTCAAATTCAAATTTTTTATTTTGAATTAAATTTACAGTGTGCTTATAAGGAGATCTGGTAAAAGTGTTTAGATTTATCAAAGTAAAATAATGACAATATTATTAGATGGAGGGTTCTGAATGATGGATATTAAGAATGGGGAAAGGAGATGAAAAATATGTCTCATTTAAATGTTTTATCCAAAAACCTGCACTCAAAAGAAGAATCTTATGATGAAGTTTGTCTGTTCTGGACCATTGTTAAATCACAACAGAATGAGAAAATGGCAAAGAGAGTCAGATAACAGAATAGGAGGAAGGAGAAAGAAGGAAGTAGTGGTAGCAGTTACTACTGCCACAACCACCACCACTACTGTTCTTATTACTACTATCACCAGTATTACTACTACTACTCCTCTCTTCTCCTTCCACTCATTTTATTTTCTGGTCTTCTCTGCTTTTTTTTTCTTATTCAGCTGTCACTTGACTATGCTCTACGATAAACCTAAACTTTGTCATAAGGGTCCTCTCCTAAGTGCATATTTTGGGTGAACTGTTCCAGCCATGGTATTAGCATTTTTATTCACCAGATTTTACATTAAGGAATTTAACAAAAATTTTAGTAATGTACAGTAATTTCTTCTGTAGATTTGTTGTTTATTTTGTGTAGGAATGTGCAACACATGTAATAGAGCGAGACTTAATACTGTATTACACAACATTAGAGCTTTATTAAGACTATACAGCATTTCAAGCCTCAACCAATACCTATGTAACTACCAGCTTGGCAGGATCTTCAGTGTCCATGGCATAGATCTACAGTTTGGACCATAAATCTGTGTGTGTGAATTTAGGTACTCTAAGGAGTCTCCTCCAAACACTCCTTTCCCTTCACATGCAACCTGCAGGGCTTTATAAATACAGTGGAACTCCGGATTTTGTATGCACTGAATATCGTACGTTTCGGATTTAGACCACTTTTGTGGGCGAAATTTTGGTCCGGATTTCATACCTCCATCTGGAAATCTTATGTATCAGATGCATCTGTCCGTCTGGGATGCCACCACTCATGCGTACATGTCTCAGTCTGGCTGTCACTGGTTGAGTGAGCATTCATCCGAAACATTTCACAGTTTTTGTGTTTGTTTATTGATTGTGACTGTGAAATAAGCTACCATGGGCCCAAAGAAAGTGCCTAGTGCCAGCCCTTTGGTAAAGAAGGTGAGAAACAGAATTGCTTCAGAGGAGGAGGAAGAGAGAGGGGAGAAGGTGCCTTCTTCAGTGATTAAAGATATGTAATGTTCATTTATCATTAAAATTAGTTATTTATATTTATTTCTAATTGTTTTCTGTATGGAAAACTAATTTTATTCTTTAACCCTTCCAGGGTCCGTGCCGTAGATCTATGGCTTTACATTGAGGGTCCAAACCGTAGATTTATGCCATGAGCTCAGCTGTGAGCAGTAAATTTGGGCCTAGATATGAGAGAATACATCTATGTGGTATGTGTGCACCACATCAAACAAATCCTGCACCACACAGTGCATAATGAGAGAAAAAAACTGAGACCGTAATTTTCGATTAAGACAGCAACTTTGCAGTGTTTTTTCGTATTTTTAGTTGTATTTGCAATTTCTTGGTCTCATTTGATAGAATGGAAGATATATTACAGAAATAGAGATGATTTTGATTGGTTTTAGTGCTGAAAATGGGTTGAAACTGAGCTCGAAGTAGCAGAAATGTTAAAATTTTGCCAATGTTCAAGAGTAAACAAATGACCTCGCACATTTAACCCTTTGACTGTTGCGGCCGTATATATACGTCTTACGAGGTACCGTGTTTGACGTATATATACTCATAAATTCTAGCGGCTTCAAATCAAGCAGGAGAAAGCTGGTAGGCCCACATGTGAGTGAATGGGTCTGTGTGGTCAGTGTGCACCATATAAAAAAAATCCTGGAGCACGCAGTGCATGAGAAAAAAAAAAACTCCGACCGTTTTTTTTAATTAAAATGCCGAATTTGTGGTCTATTTTTGTATAGTATTTATGGTTGTATTCTCGTTTTCTTGGTCTCATTTGATAGAATGGAAAACATATTATAGAAATAGAGGTGATTTTGATTGATTTTACTATAAAAAGAACCTAGAAATGGAGCTCAAAGTAGGGGAAATGTTTGATTTTTGCCAATGTTCAAAAGTAAACAAATGATGCCATTGTCCAATAAATGTCCAACTAGCCATTCTAATATGCAGTCATGAATGGGTTGATGTTATTTATACAATTATTACAGTATTGCAGTAGTCTGCATAATAGTAAGTCTTCTATTTTTTGTTTGAATAAAAATTCAAAATAGAAAGCAAGAGTAATATCAGAGGGGCCTGGAGACATGACTGATGAGCAAAGAAAATGTTATTTTAGGGCCAGGAATGTCTGCATTGTTCATTCTGGACCTTATTTTGAAATTGTCATATTTTTTAGTTTTATGAAATTGGCCAAATTGCAAATTTCTGACCACATTATATTAGGTAGTTGAAATCGGTAAATGGGCAGTTTCTTGTACTCAATTGATAGAAAAAATGGAGTTCTAAAGAAATAGCTATGAGTTTGGCCAAATGGAACAATGGAATTAGCTGAAAATAGGGCTCAAAGTGGGCGAAATCACCGATTTGTAAACAGCGCCGAGGTTGCTAACTTCGTGAGAGCATAATTCCGTCAGTTTTCCATCAAATTTCGTTTTTTTGGTGTCATTACAATCGGGAAAAGATTCTCTATCATTTCATAAGAAAAAATAATTTTTTTTTTAAATTCTGCAACACCAGGAGACACCTCAGGATTGGGGGTTGCGACAGTCAAAGGGTTAATACACGCCAGCTGGTGGGGTCTAATATACGTTCACAAATGTGCTGATATTATTTATACAATTATTACAATATTGCATGACAGTAAATCTTCTATTTTTTGGTTTGAATAAAAATTCATTATGTGAATTAAAAATCAAAATGGAATTCATTTGTAAAGCCTGAAAACATAACTAATGAACAGAGGAAATGTTACTTTAGTGCCAGGAATGCCTGCATTGTTTATTCTGGACCCTATTTTGAAATTGGAATATTTTAATCTTTGCACTAAATTGGCCAAATTACCAATTTCCAATCACTATTTTGTAGTTGAAACAGTTGAGTTGGCAATTTCTTGTTCTCAATTGATAGAATAGAAGTAATACTAGTGAAATAGCTAAGAATTTGGTTAACCGGAATAAGGCAACTGGCCTAAAATGGGAGTCAAAGTCGGCAAAATCGCTGATGCATAAATATCGCTAACACACCAAAATTCGCAAGAGCATAATTTCATCAGTTTTCCATCAAATTTTGTATTTTTTGTTTTATTACCTTCAGAAAAAGATAAGATTCTCTACCATTTCATAAGAAAAAATAAAATATTTTTTGAAAATTCTTGGACACTGGTGCGCACTTTGAAATTTGGCCTCTGGACCCTGAAAGAGTTAAAAAAAATGTATTTTTTGTTAATATTTTTGGGCGTCTGAAACGGATTAATTGTATATTTACATTATTTCTTATGAGAAATGTTACCACGGTTTCTGTGCGTTTTGAATTTAGATCGACCTTCTGGAACAGATTAAGTACAAAATCCAGGGTTCCACTGTGTACAGTATCCTTATTATATTTAAAAATTAATAAGGGTCCACTGTTTTTAGTTTAAAGACTCAGGACAGGATAAAGTACCAACACTGCCAATATGGAAAACAAAGCCAATGTGTATATATAGTACACCTCTCTTCGCTAACCTCAAAGAAAATAAAAAATTCTGAAATAATCAGAAGACATTAGTGCTCCAACTGCATAGCTAAAAAAGAAAGGCATAAACAATATGGAAAGAATAACAAGTCAACATCTGTTATATTTATATGTAGATCCCTTCGCTACAGAAGAAAGGTGAGCTAATGCATAGTATTGAATATCCACTTTTTTTCTTTTTTTTTAACAAGTTGGCCGTCTCCCACCGAGGCAGGGTGACCCAAAAAAGAAAGAAAATCCTCAAAAAGAAAATACTTTCATCATCATTAAACACTTTCACCTCACTCACACATAATCACTGTTTTTGCAGAGGTGCTCAGAACAACAGTTTAGAAGCATATACAGTGGACCCCCGCATAACGTTGGCATCGCATAGTGTTAAATCCGCATAGCGATACATTTTATCGCTAAAATTTTGCCTCGCATAGTGCTAAAAAATTCGCTCAACGCGATTCATCCAAGACACGTCCATGCGGCCTGAGCCAGCCTCACTTGTTCTGCCAGCCTCCGCGGTAACATTCAAGCATACAATCGGAACATTTCGTATTATTACAACCTTTTTATAGCGATTTCACTTGAAAAATAAGTGACCATGGGCCCCAAGAAAGCTTCTAGTGCCAACCCTACAGGAATAAGGGTGAGAATTACTATGGAGATGAAGAAAGAGATCATTGCTAAGTATGAAAGTGGAGTGCGTGTCTCCGAGCTGGCCAGGTTGTATAGTAAACCCCAATCAACCGTCGCTTCTATTGTGC